GAGGTTTGTTTGACACGAAGCTGTGATGTTGTCATTTACCAGTAATGTCTCAAGTCCCATTGCAAATAAGGAGGGGTAATTGGCGTTATTAACAAAATGAACTAGACGGCCGTGACTTCACAGCCCCTTTAAGCACTTTTCTCCCCACATCATAGTCCAACAGTAGTGAAATCACTTTAACTGTCGACTTTCCATGCCTCTTCATCTGCAGTTATTGAACTGTGTAAAGAGGGTTATTTATGGGGGATTCGATCTCTTAGCTCATTCTCTCTTGTGTCTATCAAGAGAGAATCTGTATTCATTTAGAGTATTTCAGACTCAGGCCCTGGCCGGTTCTACATTCAGCAAGAACGACGAATTTATTTAGTTACGTATAGGTAATGAACAGAGCATTTGTAAAACACTTTTTTAATTGCAGTGTACTAAAAGAATAGACCTTGTCACGGTTTTCGACGCCATCTTGACGAGTAGGCAAACGCGTGAGAAATTAGAGTGTTTGTATGAGAATCTAATGTCGAATAATTTCCGCAAAACGGCTCTTCTGAAAAAAATATGATTTGTAACTTAAAGCTTCGCTCCTATGGATTCTACTGAAAAAAATCAGGGGCGTTACATGGCTAGAAGACCTAGAACCACTTTTTAAAATTTTCTATAAATTTGTCCCGGAAAAATTACAGACAAATATATGGAAAATCTAAAGCAAGCCTCCAGAGAAATTTAAGAACAGGTACGCCCCCAAAATTGTTTAGGACAATCCTTTGCTTTGTAGCTTTAGTTTACAATTGATATTTGTTTAAGAACAGCCCTTTTGTGGAAATTATTCGACATCAGATTCTAATACAAACACTGTAATTTCTCACACATTTTCCTACTCGTCAAGATGGCGTCGAAACCCGTGACAAGGTCTATTAAGAAAGTATAAATACTATGACATTTCTTAAACGCAAAGTTTACTAGCTGAAACTGTCTCGTATTTCTTTTGCAAGAAAAAAATTCAAGGGACCGAAAAAGAAAAGATTCAGTTTCTTAGGGAAACTGTAGCACATGTCCTTTGCAGAGAACAAAATAAATTTTTCAATTCACAGGAACGAAAAGGATCCAGGATTGCGGCAGCCAATCTGAAATAGTGAACAAGACCTCAAAGTGTGGACGGCTCTATTTACCTTCAAGCAAAGAAAACTCTTACGAAATTGTGCACTGTAGAGTAAAGGGTGGTTTTATAAAGAAATAGTGATGTCTATATCAGGTCATTCACAGAACATGCAGCAACTGAACATTATTTTTCAGTGATTTTTGTGTCTATGAAAAAGACACTGCGCCCAGTTTCATAAAGATTAACAGCGAGGTCTTTTGAAACCGCCGGTTTCTTCCTTCGTCGTGCCAAAAAATTTGCCGCAAAAAAAAGAGGAACGTTGAAAATCAGTGAAGCAATATCATGACGCTGCCGGATCTGTATTTTCAAGAGCCTGCAGTTAAAATTCATTTGTGTGTTCATCCGAAAAATAGCGAAAAAAAATTTAAGCTACAGTAGCTAGTAAGTTAACGTTGCCTTGGTTATATGGTATAGGATGGAATCAGGTTTATCAACATAATGCTTCTATCTGCACAGTGAAAACGTTTTTAAAAGGTAAAGCACTACTTTGTTGTGGTTTTGTAAAATTTTAGTGCTTTCAAAGAAGATAAATGATTTAATAACAGTTTTTATTCTTATAGTTTGGCTTTCGTGGTAAGTAAAAGAGGTATTTTGGATGTAAATGAGAGATTATGATTAGCTTGTGTTTGGCATAAGTACAGTTCATTCGACCCTCCGCGTATCTTTCAGCTTCTGTGGCCTTCGGATGAGCACTTCAAGCAACGAGGTCTGTTGTCATGGCTCAGTGGGGCTGCTCTTTGTACGAATCATTTCTAATCAAAACCCAGCGTGTCGCGGGTGGGTCGGCTATGAACCGGTATTCAAGTAGATTGACCCTGTTCTTTGACTGCGAACGAAAATTCATTAAGAAGGCAATTAACGCTAAAAAGTCCTTAGGGGTTAATTCTCTTGCTGGCATTATTCCCATAGTAGTCATTCTATTCGCAATTAAAAGGCTGTTGTTCCGTTCCTTAAAGAACATAAAATGGGTCAGTCCCTTTAGAAATCTTTTAAATGAAAGTAGATACAACATTTATAAGCAACTCACGACTCTTGTATGGGCAATTGACCGGTTGATAGAACATCCTTAAACACATCGCTCGTACGCACCAGCAGATATTTTTTTGAAAATTTTTTAATCGCAGCAAATTCATATGCAAATTTTTTTGTGGCGTGTGGTTTTCGACTCTGAGATGTCCACTTCTAATGTCATGAAAAGCAAGCTATTATTTGTATAAATGCCGTTGATTTTTTTATTATTATTATTCGAGGGTGGGATCAATTTTACATGGATACAAAACGAAAGATACTTTCCGCATAGGATTATAAGCAAATCCAAATTACCCACTCAGATAGTATTCACTTAGCCACCGGTCAGGTTGTTTGAAGTGGAAAGGGAATTAACGACTCTAGTGGGCGTCATGGCGTTTATTTTTCCGCTTATACGCGTAGTGATTGCTTCATGATTTGACAAACGGTGTCTAAAAGCAGTAAAATAAAACATAAGAAAACTAATGCTTTGAGTTGTTAAGTCTATGTCAGACATCAGCCCTCAGAATGATTAATAACGGAGTTTTTATAAGCACGTGTTGTAAGTGTCTTGTTAACAGAAAAAAATCATAAGATAAGTGAATTATTTCAAAACGAAGGGCCCCCTGACAAAGAGATATGGGACTACATACCAGTAAATATCGATCGTATTTTTATCATGTTGCGGCTAGGGAGATCAAGATAAAAGACGAAAATATAAATCACTATTCCGGTCGGCTAAATCAATAGGTCTTTTTAATTAAAAGATGGCAGATTAGCGTCATTGACATGTCTAAATAATATATGCACCTTCAACTTGCTCAATTTTTTAAGTGGGTGGAGACTGTGTATAATGCCCGAGGGATCGAAACCATGCGAAAAAACCGCCAGCAAAAAGTATAAACAGCTCAATAAGCATAAAAGCCCCTTTAGCGACATCAAATTTCACCCCTTCATCCACAATTTTCGAACTCTTTCGACGAACATGGTTTAAATATGTGGGAGCGACAGAGCTATTTGTCTTGAGAAAGAAAAACTAAAATGCGTGCAAAAGCGCGCTAATTAATCCAGATACGAGTGAGGTAGACAAAGAATTCAACAAACAACATACGATTTCTTTCAAAATCGTCTTTTTCTAGTCTAGTATCTTCCCAACTTGTTAAAAATGAAAAGGCGTATTCTTTATCCCTATTCACTCGCACAAAAAAACATGATGATTTGTTGACAATTCTTCTTGGTGTGTTTCTTTGAATTAAGCTGCATGTGTCATTCACACGGTTGAAGGAAACGAGCAGAAGAGAATTGTTTCTTACTTCTTGCCCTTTCCGGTATCATGTCGAGATAGAAATGATGTTAACATGGGATAGTTGAGCAAATTCTTAATAATGCATTGCTAGCTAGCCCTCTTCTGGTTTGCAAGCTTTGATCGCGTTCTCGAAGCTAGACAAGTTAATTCAAGCATTCTAAACGACCCGTATGAAAAGTATCTATAAATTAAACTGTCGTTAAAATAATCTTTAGCTTTTTTTTCAGCTGTTTCCTGTTTTCTAGGTTACAGCAGGTGTAAATTCTCGTTGTGGTTTGAAAAAGTACCCAGTCGCGGCTTAAATTCATGTAACAATTCTCTGAAAAGAACCCGATACACAACCGCCATTGCTGGTTTTGAGATCAGCTAACAAAGGCTTCGAAAAATACACCGTGACTAACTTTTGACGCCTTTCACCATCCTCTCCGTTTATTTAACAGAGACAATTTATTTTTATTGGGTTCTGTGTTTTCAGTTCTTAACCACAATTATCCGTTGCTTCAGGGCAAATGCAAATTTCCGAACACCAAAAGTGTTAGTCAAAACAGACATCTCTCAATGTGCATATCGCTTTTGCTCCATCTCTATTTTGGTATACTAATTTTTCCATATTTTTTCACCTTGGCTATAAGATGTGTACGAGACAAACTTCTATCTGTTTCTCCCTTCTGTAATCTTTCCTCTTGGTTTCACCGGATCTTAATTCTTTCAACTTTTATACTTTCTTGTGTTAGCACTCAGTCGACCGTTCCGTTAAATTATACAGTTGCTCCTGTTTTACGAATGTAATTTTCATCCTTAATCGCCCAGTTTACGCGAACGTTTCTCCATAATTTCATCTCTTATGACCTCTTTAAAGCAAAATTGCAATAGCGCCCTGTTTAAAGTTTTTAAAGAACCGTAAATAAGTATAAACTTGAGAAGCAGTCTTTGTTTTTTTTCTTTCTTAAGTCGGCGCCATTTTAGTCAGACAAATAAGTGTTTATACACACCACGAGAAGATACATTCACCTTGGTTTTACTTACAAAAGATTGACAGTGTTAAATTTGAGCCTGAGCGATTCCTTTGAATTTACTTTTGAAAATGACAATATTGTGTTGTTCAAAAGACATAACCCTTTTATTGTATGATTTTGATAGCTTCTTGTACAGGCAGCGAGTAATTTCTCCATTAAATTTGAGTTGAATGGGCTGCGGAACAAAAGAATAGACATATCAAACTACGATTTCAATGCGTGGTAGACATTGAAAGTGCGTTCCTTTATCGTGGTTTTCGAGAGTAAAGATAGATTAAATTGGGCTGCTTAAGACGAAAGATATTACTTGGAGCTCAGAAAATGAAACGACGGGATTTTCGACTCACATTTTTCCGAAACAAAGACGTTCTTACCAAAATAACTTCGTTACCTTTGGATACCGAGTCCTCGAAGCTCTTGTGCTTGAATTAAATGTTTCTTTTCTCTTATTTAATGAAGCATAATCGCTGTAGTGTTCTCTCTTATTTTAGCAGGTTAGTATTTGACCTTCTCGGCGCGGGTAACTAACATTAAATCTTTCGCAAACAATTGACGCAGAAAGTTTAACAGAATATTCATACTTTATTAGTGCGATAACAGTCGAGAGTGTTTTGTGTGTATGGTCATAAACAAAATCCAATTTTCACTCTTGCACGATTAACCGCCGCGTACAAAATACGGGCAATAAAAAATGATAAGTGTATTAGAAACCTATTCGACAACGAAAAACGGCGGCAACATTTATCCGCCATCTTGACGGCGTGAAGTGCGAAATCCTTGAATAAATAAATCAAACAAAGAACTACTCTCTCGATTAATGCCGTTTAGCTGCTAGAAGTGTGCAAACAGCAAATCATTTAGATAAGAAAATAAGTGATCAAAATAATTTTCTGCCCAAATTGAATTGGAGCGGTCAGAGATTTTATTCAATTTGTTATCTTTTTCTGTGCCTGTGGTTTTCACTAATCAATAAACTCCATGAAGATTCGCGCCCGAAACTAAACTAAGCTAAGAGATCACGGATTGATCAAAAGCATATCTTTATAATCCTATAGAGTCATAGTGTTTACAATGGTTTTTCACAAAAAAAGTAAATATAAACTCAGCTAATAATTGAATGTCAAGTGTTGAGTAGAAATTCTTTGTGACACATAAATTGGAAAGATAAGCTGTCTTTGCACCGTTAAATACACAAAGCAGTCAAAGCTATACATGCCGTTGAGTGTATATTTGCGGGTAAGGAGAGCCTGTATCTGTCACTTGTTGAACGTGAAGATTCTGTGCGGCCGTGCTAAAAGCAGAAACGGCGCTCGTCGTTGGACCTGGCTCCATGGCACTGCTATAAAGATGGCTAACATGACCGTGCGGTCCCGCGGTTGGAGATACCAACATTTCGCCCGGACGTCCTTGGTAAGAAAGTTCTGTATGAACACTGTTAGCATGGCTGGGTGGCGTTGGAAAAGCGTGCGTTTGCCTTTGAGCGTGTACGGCAGCCATATCATACATCGAGTACGAGGCATGTTGAGGAGGCATTTGAAAATACTGCGGATAGTGCATAGATTCTGGCGCCATCGTAGGCGGGTACGCTGAAAGCTTCATTGTGGAAGGGTGAACAGCGTTTTCTGCACCCGTGTACGGAAAGGAATACGTTGGTTTCTTCATCAACTGCTTCTGTTTTCGCCTCCTGGGCTTGTACTTGTAATCGGGATGTTTTTGGCTATGTTCCTGTTGTAAACGTTTTGCCTCCTCGATAAATGGCGCTTTATCGTCGTCCCCCATAGCTTTCCACCGGACTCCCAAAATTTTGCTGATTTCAGAATTATGCATTTTAGGATTCTCCTGAGCCATTTTTCTTCTTCTCTCTTTCGACCAAACCATAAACGCGTTCATGGGTCTCTTAATATGATTTGGATCTTTACTACTCATGGTTGACACAATTTCACGACCTCTTTGTCCAACTCGGCTAGGCACTGAATAGCTTATAGTGTCAACAGACCCTTCACTGGGAACAAGGCTATGGTTTCGTGTGTAATATTCAACAAAGCTATTTACATTTCTGGCGTTGCATGTGGACAATAGAGTTTTTAGAAATCTTTAATTACCATAATCATTCCAAACATCAAAAGAACAAAACACAATAGAACAAGTATTCAACATATTTACTTGAATAATTAATTATTGCTGAGATGCTTTCCGTTCCACTTGCTTTTTGCTGTAGTCTTTCTGAGGTGTCTATGTGCAATCTTCTCTGCTTCTTTCAGCCTGTCTCAGCCAGCGATCTTCTTACGCTCATTTTTGGCTTTAAAAGTTTCGGTACTTGTTAACCTCATTTTCATTACCTCGCAGCTGGACTCTTAGGGCTGAGATTAATCATTTCAAAGTTAATAACGTGTTTGCTTTAATATTTATGCCCAATTTAAGTGAATATTGGAATAAGTGGAATTCGAAGGAGGCAAAGGAACAATAGTGATTTTTCTCTCATTGTCAATGTACGATAAGATTAAAGGGAATTTAATTTTTCCCGATAGTTTAAGCGCGGAAAATAAAAAATACGCTTCAAAGGCCCCAACCGTGGGCAATTAAAATGGAGGCCTCGCTAGTAATTCGAATTCATAATAATCACAGCGTCTTTGAAAAGCTCTCTGACAGTTGGTATTGTTATGTAGATGACTCAATTTCGAAAAAAGCCTGCAGGCCTTTTGACGTTTCGAATAAAAACTTTGTAATAGACCAACGATATTCGTAAATCTGTGTGACAACAATTCTCCACCATGTATCGAAACTAAACACAAAAGTCACAATCTCTCCGTTTACATTTACTCAATTTTCAAACATAAGGCAACCTTCGCTAATAGTAATTAAACAAGTTTATTGCGCAACAACCCACATTATAATCCCTCGTTTTACACATGATCTAAATTTGCCATGTTCCATTGTGAAAGATGTTACTCTAAACTCTGCAACACTTTTTCAGTCTTTACGAGAAACGATATAATGATTACATGCTAAAGAAAAAAGATCGCACTGAAACAAAACGAAAAAGAAGGAAGCTTTTGAACATTTTTGTGTTTGGAACAAATTAAGGTGTCAAAATAAGGCCTCTTAAAGGAATTTAACATAACAGAAGAATGCGAAGTTAAATGAATTGACTTGTTTAGTTAGTTAGGCTTTACTTTTTGTCTTTTCATCATTTAAGCGAAGTATAAGTTGGATAATTAATAGAAATGAAAGAGACAAATTCACTTGAGATCAAAAACCTGTTAATTACATTGATTTTAAGAACTCGTTTCTTGATCGATCGGGCCAATTAACAGGCAAACCTCACAAGAAAAATTTGTCCGGCGGCGGACGAACAGACTGCGAACTGGAACAGAACAAATGCTTTTTTCACTGAATCAGTTCTAGAAGATCTGGCGTAACAAAGAATGATGAATTACTTTTGACATAATTATGTCGGAGTATGTAGTTCACTTGAGCAGTACATTTAGTCCTTGAACTGTCAGTTGATTGACAATGCCTTTACTGAGCTTTTGCACAATCCTTTGCCCTTCTTTATTGTACTATAACATAATAAGTAACATGGTTTCAATATATTCACTTCGTCAACCAATTTTCGTTCGAGAACCTAGTACCAATTTAGTTTCAAAGTATAACAGAATCTTCTCCTTTCGAACTGACCCCTGAGAAGGCCGGAATTAAAGTATGTTAAAAAAAACAATTAATTAGCAAGAGAGTCAATAGACAATCCAGGGGACAATCCATGCCGCCATAATTTCCTCTTCTACATCGGAAAGCCTGTTCTCTGGCCAGACCTCTATCTACAGATATTATCCAAAAAGCATTTCCCGTGAATTGATGTGAAATTTTTGTTTTTTAGACTGCAGTCAAATCTCTCTAAGACACTCAGTATTCAAACTTGCTCCCTCGGACGGGCATGCTTTAAAGAACGAGAAATACATAAAAAGAGTTTTTTTTCTAGAGCGATTTAGGAAATATTTTCTGTGGTTTACAGAAAGTAATATGTAGCGAATTTGTTGCGATCTAGGACGTATCGAATTCAACAAGTAGCGGCCGGTTGTTACCGTCTTATTGAGAGTCAACTAAAAGGTGCAAAGAAAGACGGGCCAGTTCTAGGTGTCCACTTTAATCGCCCGGTTTAGCGAGGTGTCCGTTACGATAGAGTTGACTCTGGAATGGTCTTCGTTCCCGCCGCAAGATTCCGTCAACAACAGATCACGTTTTCATAAACTAAACCAAATGAGAATTGCGGCAGTAAATTGCAAACTTTGAATTTCTAGAGCATCTTGCAGCAAGCAATTTTCTGTAACTAACAGCAGTCAATTCGGTGGGGCTTAAATATTAATGCTTCGTCAAGCTTGTTCATACAATACAGCACTATAGCATTATGTGTGGAAGCGATCACGACACAGCTGTCAGCCTTTCCACAACAGCAACGACACACTATTACCCTTAGTATTGCTTTATGGAAAGGAAGCATTTTTAACGAATTGGTTGCGCTTTTCCATTTTAGTGACCTTTCTTTCTTTCTTGTTTTTTTGTTTTTTTTTTTTTTCAGTCGCCTACGCCTATTTCTCATTCGTAAACAGTCACTGCCCAACTGTCAATGCCATCGTTGGTAACCAAGCCTTTGGTTATGGTACGACGTAGATGTATTTCGGTACTTTGTTTTAAGTTACTTTGTGGAAAAATGAATATTGAAAGATTAACATGAAGAACTTGTTTGTTAAGAAGAACGTTTTTATTAATGTTAATGCAACACCTCCTTGATCTTAAGTTGTAACAGGGGGGAAGCGGCGTGTAAGATTAAAAAACAATCAATAGAGCATAAAGCTCGGCAATTTTTGGAGTTTCTAAGATGCTAAAAATGTGGAACTCTTGTCCGTGGAAAGGTCTATCTTCAGTACCGGATTCGAGTAGCGAGGTGCCGGCTAGTTTCGTCGACATAACACGGCAGCCACCACAGTCTGCGCAAGAAAATTTATAAACTACATAGGATGGTAGTGACTTGGTTATAATACTGTTGTAGTGTCTTTCACACTGAACAAATTCTTCAATTTATGGTGGAAGAAAACCAATTTAATGTCAATATTCTTGCGAAACCGCTGAGTAAGACGCCTAATTTTGCGTTGAACGAACCGTGTTAGAAAAGGGCCAACGAAAAGTAAGTTTATAATAATTAATCGATTTTTGGCTACGGTTGACTGAGGTGGAGGGTAAAAACTCTTAAAAAATTGCAAGTATTTTGAACAGACTCGACTTCTACTCCTTATTCTATACGTTGCAACATTGACAAAACCACATCAAAAGTTGTGGAATCAAAGAGAAGTCCAAAGACTACTGCAAAGCTGATTCAGAACATCGTGTATTGTTTTTTCATAACAATATTTTGGTTGGCCATACCAGCCTTCTTCAGGTTTACAGATGTTACTGAACTTATGTAGGAATCACATATTATATAGGTGGAGAATGTCGCGACAAAAATTGTTTAAGAGGGAGAGGCGGAAATGACGTACAACACAAAAAACTGGAAAAGAGAAAATAATAAGGATATGGATTACAATAATTCGTCACGGCGGTTTAGGCCATTAGGTTCAAGTAGTAGTGGGGACTGGGACCCACAAAGACAGAAGTACTAAAATATTCAGGAGTGAGGACTGGAAATTAGTGCACCAAACCCTCCCGGCCAACCTTGCCGGCACCTATGTTCGATGTGTGTGAACGGCTTGCACTACCCCGGGCCGTTGTTGCTCATGCTTTACCGGATAACTTCTCGTGGCGCCCCAGCCTCAGTTCCGCGGGCTTTTTCCGCACCAATTGCGCTCTCATTGAAGCACGGGATGCGTAAATGACTGCTACTGGAGTTGGTATGGAAATACCGTAACTACGACTACCGTTGAAGCCTGAAAGTAGCATTAAACAAATCAGATCAATCAGCAGACTGCTGAGGGAACAGTTTCCTTCTTCATGAACGAGGTTCGTGATGCACCAATCACCAACAACCACGGTGGTAAAAAAAATCCGGTTCAGTAAATCGAAGACTATCGCCTGATGAAGACCAGAGCCGGGTTGTTCAAAGCTGGGTTAAGATAACCCAGGGTTAGTGTAAAATTTTAATTCAAATATGAAAGCTTATTATTAAAAGTAAATTCAGTTTATTTCTTTTTGTGAACAAGTTGATGATGTTCCGTAATTTATAGTACGGACCGAAAAAACCAGGCTAATAAGATGTTTATTATATGGCTTCTTCCAGTTGCGGGGACATGAAACAAGTGCAGGACGCACGATTTGACAGTCATTTGACAGGCGCCAAAAAAGAAAGTTTTTATTGGCGCACGAAAACAATAGCACATAACAAAGGTTTTCCGAGAAAGTGAAAACAAATTCGCCATGTTGAAAAAGTTTATTTGGTCAAAACTAAGAGCACTGTAAGTTTGAGTTCTTAATGTAACGCTGGATTATTTTGGAACCCGAACACTGTGTCTGATCTTTCCTCCGTTTGTCTTCGTAAAAAAAAAACACTGCAAAAGGCAAAGAAGCTTTTCAAGGTAAGTTTGTTGTCATTGTCGAAGGATTCGCTCGTTAATTGTTTTTGGGAAATCCTCTCTTTCTCTTTCTGCCCGTTCATTCTCGTCTTCAATTGTGATCTGCCGTTAAATTTTCAAACACTTACTAAAATTCTCCTCCTCGGTAAGGTTACGATTAAGTTCGTACATCAGCTTCGTTCTCATTAAAAAGCTAGGTTAAAATTTGGAAAGGCAAAGTCAACATCCCAGTCCTCAGGGTTTACAGACACGTTTATTCGGTCAAAACTGAGAGCACTGTAAGTATTCACTGGTTAGTGTGACACCGAAGTATGTTGAAACCTGGACATTGTGTCTGGCTCGAACTCGCGTCTATCTTTCTTTCGTTGGTCTTTGAAAAAACACGGCAAATGGCAAAGAAGCTTGTCAAGATGATCTAGTGCAGGTATGTTTGTTATCATATTTGTCGAAGGAATTACTCATTTCTCTTAGGCAAAACATCTCGAATCTCTGCCTGTCGATTTTCGTC